AAAAGAGCTCTACCTTTGCATCTTAAAAGAGCCCATGTAATGCTAATTTCACTTTTCCGAAGCTTCAACTACAAATTACGTGGGCAGATGGGTGGACGTTTGAATCAGTCAAGTTTTTATTTTGAGCTCTACCTTAGTAAAAGCTCATAACATCTAATTCTAATTATTATTTTTACTTCATTACAGGGGATGATGATATTATAGGAAGACAAAAAAGATGCAGATAAAAAAAGAAACCTCCATATTTCCATTTTATGGTTATGTTAGTGCAAGAAAATAGCAAGTGTAATCTAAATAGAGAAATATTACCCTATTTTATATATTATTCAGCTTAGTTTCTCATGATGAGTGGTGATTGCACTCTTTTTTCCTTAAGTTCTCCTGTTCTAAAATAATTAATACCCAGTTAGTTTTTAAGCACACCAAAGAGGGCTTTTGTGGTCTTATTCATTCTGTTGTTCTGTTGGAGGAAAGCAATATCTTATAAAAATTGTCATCCATTTAATTTGGCAACACAAGGTCCTCTTGTCACTGGTAGGTCAGCAGGAGACGATGCTTAATTAGTGTGTTTTTTTCTCGTTTGTGTTTCCTTTCCCATAATTAGGTCCCTTTCCTCTTTCCATTTCTTCCTTGCAAATATGCAGCTATGGGTTAAGCATTGCCTAGGGTAGATGGCTCATTAATCAATACAGAAGAAATTATTTTTCAAAAGAGAAAGTACACACACACAATGCATACACACAATTAAAATTGTGATACATCCTGGTGTGTGCGTGTGTGTGTGTGTGTGTGTGTGTAAACCAGGACAAGATGACCTGTATATGTGCTCTGTTGTTGTTTAAAGGCTAATTGCAACCAATGGGTGATTGGAAGAGCTCTGAAATCCCCAGTCCCCCAGCCCCTGGCCCAGTCTAGGTAGTTCTTCAAAACCTTCTTGATCTTGGAATGGGCTGCCTTTCAAGTGGGATTTTTTTCCAATCATGAGTATCCTTTTCAAAGACAGGTGTCAGGCCTGCAGCGGTTCCTTTAAGAATCTTTGGCCTGCCACACTCTCATTAACTGGGGGAATCAGCAAGGGGTAGAATGTGTTGTTTTCAAAATAAAAAATTCCTTTCTAGAAGCTCAAGGTCATCTTTTGTCTCCCAAACCTTTGCACCTGATCGGAAGCAGTTGGGTGTAGGTGCTAACGTGGAAGAAGAAGATTGGACCATGTGATGGTCCTGTGGGTGTGGGGACAAGATCATGAACTTTTAACTGGGTGGGATTCTGATGTCTTTTCCAGAATTGGGATTCCATAGCACGATGCCAACATGCCTGCCTTATTA